CAGTGTGGTGGAGCTCTTCAGGCTGCATGTACAGAGTGCTGAGGCCTCTCATAGTGCTTCTGTAAGTACACTCTCTCTCTCTCTCTCTCTCTCTCTCTCTCTCTCTCTCATAGTGCTTCTGTAAATATTGCAACCCACCTCTCTCCCTCCCTCCCTCCCTCTCTCTCAGGGTTTGAATATCTACATTTTACAACATACATTCTTCACATTATCAGGTCCTATAGGTTCATGATTCTTAGAAAGAAAACATTTTCTATGACATGAATGTGTGTCACTGATAAATAACTTCATCAAGTATTACTTTGGATTGCTATAAATGAATTCACCTTATCTTGCTCTCTCTACCAGGCGCGTGGCTCCATACGTCGCACTCTGTCCAAGAAAATCCTGACATATCACCTGTACCTAAACTTTCGTACTCTAGCCTGCAATGTAGGTGAAGACACGGAGGTTTATTTCTCTCTCTACGATACCAAAGAAGAAAGATTTATCAGGTAATGACATTCAGTGCTGAGATCTGTGGAGTAACTTATTTAATGCTAGAGTATTCTCATTCAGAACTTTTTGGTTTATTTTTTATTCTGTTTTAAGACCTTTTTCGTGACCTTTTGGTCCTCTGAAATGATGAACTATTGGGAAAACTTTTAACCTTATGTGAAATAAACAGAAGTGATTCTGGCAGCAAGATTTCAGTTTTATCAAATGTTGCATTTAGGTCAGTGATGACATGATTGTAGTCTAAAGGAAGATCCCAATACATATAATTTTAGGTATTTTCCATATATGTTTTTGAAGAATTTATTTAAATTATTACTATTGTTTCAGTGAGAGGTTTCTGTCCAGACTGACAAAGAATGGATTACCACTGAACCAAGACAGGATACAGAACAACTGTGCCCTCTTTACAGTAAGTCTGAAACATGACAATAGCAGTCAAGTATTTTACACATCTGCTGTAAATTTAACATGATATGTTAGTTTGCTTTCTAGATGAAATTCCATTTGCATTCTCATAAGCAGTCATAACATCCATTGGTATATGTATCTCTTTCTCAGTAAATGATACCAAAAGTTCTGACGAATACCAGTATATATTTAACCTTAACCAGATCTCAGTCAGTAGTTATTGCAGTGCATTTGCAGACATGGTTTACCTTGACTGATGCAACAAATAATTGTTTATATTTCCAGGACTCTGGCAGTAAAGGTGTAGTGAAGGATTTGTTAACTTAATATTTATATTTTTTACATAGCTGTTTATATTTTCAAAACTTTGGCAATAAAGATGTAGTGAAGGATTTGTTGACTATGAATGGTTGTTTATATTTCCAGGACTTAGGCAATGAAGACCTGGTGAAAGATTTGTGGCTGGTTGTCCAGATATTCAGAAGAGGTATGGCAATTAGACAGACAAATTTAGCACTGAAATATATGTACTATTTTAATTTTTTCTGACTTACTGCAGTATTGTCTGTCAATAGACGAATACTATGACACTGGTGACATTGATGACTGTCACATTAAATCATGGTATAGCATAGTCTATAAAAGAAAGTAAAAAAAAGTAAGAAAGTAAAAAAACAACCATACATTATCAGTGTAGAGTATGACAGAAGATGGTGTTCAGTACTGAATTGATCTAAAGACTAATTTTAGCACTGATATTATCACGTTTATCACTGATATTATCACTTTTATCACTGATATTATCACTTTTATCACAGGTCGAATATTACTGAGTGAGTCGTCCAAGAAGAGCCAGCAGCACCAGTTCAGGCGGCCGTATGGTGTGGCTGGTAGGTCGTCTAACTTTGTGTCTGTTTCCAAAAACTTTGCTAAGTAGCTTTGTTCAGTTGTAAGCTGGACGTGAAGGAAAGTTAAAATTATAAAAGTAAAGTAAAGTTATGAAGCTCCGAATCTTTGTCCAGCAGGTTTATATAATGGTGTAGAGCACACTGGCATGTAGTTGTATCTGTAAATTGGCAAAGGAGAAATCAGTTTCTCAAGTTTTTAAACATCTTTATTTTCAAGTATTTTTATACAAAATTTATCATGCAACGAAAGGTGGCAAATCACCAAAGCACTATGCCCTCACCTTACGATAATGACAAGTTTCTCAATTGTCAGTTTAGAGACTGATCCTTCACCTTTTGTAAATTATCTAAATGCTAACCATTTCTGATAAGAACTTAAGATCTTCACTGAAAATCGCTGCTGTATTTATTTCAGTGCTCCACTTACGCGAGATGATGACGGCAGACATGTCTGACGAGAATGAGAGAGAGTACAGCACCAGGGTGCAGACGTAAGTTAGAACACAGGGTCAGAGTTATAGTACGGACAAACAACATGACATAGCATTCTAGAAATATACTTGCTATAGAACAAGGAAATTGATGTTGATTGCTATGGTAAATTTAACACAAAAAGTAGATCAAACAAATCAGAAAAAATTGGATTTTAAAAAGTGTTTAAGCAAACTTAACAGATAAACGTCCATGTGCTGCAATTTAGGTAACACATTGATACTTGTTTTCTGAAATACTACTACTACTACTACTACTACTACTACTAACACTACTACTACTACTACTACTACTACTACTACTACTACTATAAAACAGTCTAAGTTGTGTATTTGGTAAGATAACTTTGAGTTTATGACCCTGTGAATACAGCTATAGCATCTCAATCTTCTAATCCTTTTCTGGTCTTCTTATACTCCCACCACAAGGATACCCCGGTTATAAAGTATTCTATACTCTTTCTGTACATTTGTGAGTTTTGCTGTCTAGTTTGTGCTTCCCTTCCAGATGCACAGACACCCCTGGTGACAAGGACTTCCCCATGATGCATGAGGACATGATCAGAAAAACCAAGACAAACCCAGGCCTTGTGAACACTGGTAAGTGCTTCTAAAATAATTCAGTGGATTTTTAAGTTGTACTCAAATAATTCAGTGGATTTTTAAGTTGTTCTAAGATACTTCAGTATATTTTTAAGTTGTACTAAGACAATGAAATAAATTTTTAAGTTGTAAATTTTTTCATTTGTTAAAACAACTGCTTTGTCTGTACAAAATGTAAGAAATGTTCTAATTATAAAACAATAATTTGTTCTCTATTGTCTCTTTAACATTTATATGCAGCTATCCTCTTTAATGATGTTCAATTATCCGGTAAACTTTTGTAATGTAAAATACTGTTAGGTTTTGATTTTGAAGCAAGAAGAAAAATTAAACGAAAATCATTCAACTTTCCAATTCCAGCATTAACTGTGTCATTACGCAAGTTTCATGGCACTTTGGACGAAGTACGGCACCGGCATCCGTTGCTGGTTGGGAAGAGTATAGCAATCACCAGGAAGATTGGCTTCTCTGATGTCATCATGCCTGGTAAGGTCATTGGGGCGGTCAAGGTCATGTAAGGTCAGCATGTTATTATGACTGGTGAAGGTCGTGGGGTAAAGGCCATCTATTTATCAAGGCCATTCTTATTTATTGAAAATTAGACATTTGTTTACAACTGCGATGTACTTTTTTCAGATGATGAAGTGAAACTCCTTTTTAGCAAGAGGGCAAAGTATAGTTTTGGAAACAATTGGAAAATACTTTTTATTCAACATATTCACAGTGATCACCCTATTGAAAGCTGATAAATATTCTGTGCTGTCCTGCTCTTCAGGTGAGGTGCGGAATGACTTCTACTTCAGTATCCACAGAGGCGACTTTGAGAAGGGAAAGAAGACGGCGCAGAAAAATGTGGAAGCGAGGGTGGTTGTTTTAGATGACAAAGGAAATGAGATGAAGGTGGGGATTCTGTGTGTATTTGAACATATATAATACATGGTTTGTCTTTTATAATTATTTTATTTTATTTTATTTATTTATCTTTTTTTTTGTAAAATTTAGCATATAAGTTGTATCTCTGTTGGATTAATGTAGTAATTATTATGAGACGTTAAATAAACTGCTAATAATCACTCTGAATCCAATCTTTGAACTGACCTCTTCATTAGGATAGATGGCACCACCTTCACCCTGACACTCATTCATGTTTTTTTAGATTTAGATTATTTTAGATTATTCTATTTGCACGAATTCTACTATTCTGCAATAAATTTTAACAAAAAATTGACATTTAGTCTAAAACTATTTGATTCGTGTTTAAAAACATCTTTATTTTCATCTTCATGACTCAATTGTAAACCTGCCTCCATTTTCCAGGAGTGTCTCAGTGCAGGATCAGGTGAACTGAATGGTGACGAGTACAAGTCATTTATCATGTACCATCACAACAAGACAGTGTGGAATGAAATAGTCAAGGTAGGAACTGACCAAAGGTCATCTTGACCAGCATTTCATTTGTTGCTGCTTGCTACATTGTAACATATAGTAAGGTTTTATGTAGATATGTAATTTTTTTTGCAATATATTCATGATAGAGATATCAATATAATTGTTATAGATTTACTGCATGTAAAGAATGTTCTACCACTTTTTGATTATATTTATTTTATTTTGAATGCCATTTCTCTCTCAATGTTTATTTTATTTTTGATTACTTTTTGTGATAGCATATCCCTCCTTATTGGTCTTTTTGCAGAAAAAAATCACAAGTTTGCGAAAATGGCTATTAATTGTACATAATAAATAATGGCAAGAGTCATGTTTTTAACTTAAATGTGTTGAAATTAATTTTAATTCCAAACAGTTTGTCCAGTAAAGTTCTTTTGAGTTTATCTAGGGAATCTTTCCAAATGACTACTTTTCATAATCTAATACAATTTTTTCTTTTTTTATTTCAGATCTGCCTTCCAATTGACCAATTCCCACTATGCCATGTAAGATTTGAGTTCAGACATTGTTCAAGTAAGTTCATGTTTATTTAAATACCTTGCCATATTTTTCCTCAATTCATATTTGTTGTTGATACTAGTTGTATTTAACTGTACTTAATTTGACATTTGCATTGGGGTTTTATTGTATGATGTTTATAAAAGACTTCTGAATGGAAACCTTTCAAACAGCTGGAATAACTTTTGTTGAACATATTATGACCTCAGGATTAAAATCATATTTTTATATCCTGTATATCCTTTCAGCACAAAAACCAAAGCACCTGTTTTCATTTGGCTTCATACGCCTCCATGATGGAGTGACAATCAGAGACGGGAAACATGAACTCATTCTATATAAGGTGATACACAGGATAAAAATAAAACTTACTTATTCTTTACTTTTTAAATCAATATCATTTTTGTATGTCATTTTCAATGTAAAAGGTATCTGAAAGTGAAAAATATGTCTCCAGTGTTTTATTTACCTCTGCGTCATGCGTAAAAAACGCATGAATCCTAAAATTGACGCACAAAA